TAAATTGTGGGAACGGAATCATAGCATGTTTATCATTAGAGTATCTGGTTTCTGCCTATGCATAAATATGAGAGAAAAAAAAAAATCAGGGTGAAAACACCTTCGTGGTAGTTATTTGCAGCTGATTCAGCAGAACTCCACAGAGAGGTGCTTCAGTCTGCACAAGCCGTATGCTCATATAAGGCACTTGAGAGATAGCTGTGCTTAGGGTCAAAGATCCAGCTGAGCTTGGTTCCCCATGGGAACACCTCAGGTAAGGGAAATAGGTTTCTACAGCCAAGAGCAAATACAGAATTGAAGTGTCTGGTGCAGTATCTTGGAAAATCTTGAAAACATCTTTAGATATTACTTCCTGAATATTCAGGCACCTGTTGGTCAAGGAAACTCTTAGTGTGGTTCAACAGCAAGGCTGAAACTTGAACCTCTGAGATTACTGCTAAGGAACAACTCTGAACAGATATCTCATCTAAAAGGACACAGACATCATATCTAGCCGAGAATGAATCAGGAAAGAAGCAGAGGAAGTAAAACACAGGTCCTAGGAATCCCGTGACTTGGAAGAAAAGCAGAGATTGATAGAATTAATAGAAGAGAGGGGATTTAACAAGATTAAAAATAACAGGTGAAATCTTGATGCTTCCAGGTTAGAGTTAAAATTTTCCATTGCCACTGCTGGGATGAGCATTTTGACAACTGTATTTTGAAAATAAGCAGCTCTTTTTTCCTAAGCTTGTCAACCTGAGACTGTGATTTCAAGATGAAGAAGGGATCTGAATTAATTAAAATGAGAATTTGAAGTTAACTACATAAAGCACTTGTGTGGATCCTCCCTCTTCAGAATTAGACCTATTTAATTAAATTAAATAGGGTTGCCTTAGGTGCCCTTTAATTTTGGTTGTATGGGGTCTTAATGTGTTTAAACTAATCCACTTGCAGTGTACATGGGCTAACTGTCCTGATTATCACTGTGTAAGCAGTCTTCATATTCTAAGTAATAGGGTGATATTCTGTCAAATGGTGGACAGAAGAACTTGGTTCTCTAGAGATTATCAGTAAATAAATAGTAGCCAGGACATCTTCTTTTACATAATAGTGCATGCTTTAAATGAGGAGAATATATATATATATATATATATATATATATATATGCACATTTCTGTGTGACAGAAGAGAATTAGCATGGGGAAAATTTTGGTCAATTGGGGTATCTGTTTAGTGCAAAACATATTTAAAAAGAGCTTAAAAATTAAAATATGTTTGTGATGCTTGTGCAAACCTGTATGTTGTTGCCATCTTTGGCAACTCTGTTAGATTGACTTGTGATTGCAACTAGAAGGTTTTCAGACACAAATATGCACTGCAGTGATCACATGCTGCCAGGGCAGAAGGAAATAATAATTCCACTTTATGTATTCAGAATATGTCAACATATAAAAATATGCTATCTAAAATACAAGCCAAAAGAAACACAAAAAAAATGAAATATTCTGAAGTAACAGCAGGGATTTTACAAAACATCTGAGCTGGGGTGACATATCACCTGTCAGCATCCCATTCCCAAAGTGGTGTATGGTGAGGACAGAACCAGGATGTAGCACAGTTGTTCAAGCTGCTGCTGAGTTTTCCTAATTTCTGAAAAATGGCTACTAGAAGATTCAGCTGTGCTTTCAAATCTCTATGCCAAGCTTGGGTTCCTGATAAGGTAGAGTAAGTTTTATGCTTCTGTAGCTGACTGAAAAAAATGATGGAAACCTGATTCTCAAAGAAACAGCACAATATTATTGCTAAGTGATGGATTTTGTGTGATCCAACTTAAGAAACCTATCATTTTTAGAGTACCAGTGACTGGTACCCAACATGTTGTTTTACCTTCATGTGAATCATTCTGGTTATAAAATAGGATTTTTCTGCTAACTGGAAATTATGTCACTTAACTGCTCAACAGCCTTGTTTTCTTCCTTGTGACCCTAAATGCATCCTCTCGCTTGTCAGTAGGAGGTATTCAGCACAGTGGGTGTTCTCATTACCACTTGACATTTTGCTGTTTGGTTTTCTTCCTGTTGCTATTTAATTATTTGAATTCTTTCATCACCAGTCCCAGGCGCCATTTAGCAAGCAATGTACTATTAGTGCTACTTAACAATATTGACATAGTCACTAGGAAAAGAGTTTAATTTCCAAACAGTACTACAGCATCCCCCCTTGCCATCTGCTCCTGCTGTGTCCCTCACCATTGTGTTTCCCAGTTAACCCTTTCCTCTGGCCCTCTCATCTAGTGCTCTTGGGGAGGGTGGCACAGGCTCTGCACAGCTTTGACAGAACTAGAAAAGTCCTCTGAAGCTAAAGCAGACTGCAGCTCACTATAATAGCAATGACATGGATGAAGTTTTTGGCTGATGTAAATTGGTGTATATTTGTTTTGTAGAGGCATGGACAAATAGACCAAGCCCAGAAAGCATGGTAGGCTTTCTGTCTTCCGCCGTTTATCACAGGCACTTCACAGCTCCCACTAGTGTTGGGTCTGGATATCTCACAGCCTTTAATGTAATATCTCAAATAAGACTGCAGGGGGAATGTACTGTACCTTTTTGGAGAACAGAGACATCAAGACTGATGGTTAGATTCATCTTCCAGAAGTTAATCTACCTAAAAGATAGATTGCTGGTTGATATTAATAATCCATGCTTCCCTTTCTCCAGTGAAGAGATGATATCTCCCAAGGATGATTTATGTGACTCCAATCACTGGGCCACCTTGACTGTTAAGTGGCAGTAAGAGGCCAGACTGAGAAGGATGCTCAGCTTTAGATGAGCGCAGGTAGAGGCTGGAGAAGTTAAAGGTAGCAGAATACTTTGAGTTATTAAATCTATAGCAATAACATCTGGCTTATGAATTTCCTAAAGTGAAAACATTTGGAGGCTGTGAGTTGCTAAGGTGTAGTATCAGACATGCTTATCCTGGTGTTCGCTTCTTTCCTAAGCATCTGTTCATGGCCACTGCTGGAGCCAACACACAGGGGAGATGGACTTTCGATTCATGTGCTCTTATGTGAGGCCATTTTGGCAGTGAGAAGTGGGAAATATGCATTTACTAAGAGATGACTTCTGCAAACGAGAAGTTGGTAGTAAGGTTTATTTCCAGATCTGAGGTGAAGTGCTACTGACCTACAAACAGAAAAGCTGGAAATCAGTTTTACATAAAGAGCCCGTGCCAAGTGCTGAGTGTCAGCGCTTTATATTGGGTCATGGCAACCCTTTTGGAGATTCAGATGAGCTGTTTCACCATGTGTTCCCCTCAGATGGTGCAAACAGCTTGTTGGTATGAGGAGATTCAGATGTGACATAATTTGGACTTTGGTGTGTAGCTGTGCTGCTACACAAATGCTCCCTTCCTCTGTGACAGCGTCAAGTCTAACAGGGTGGAAGCTTGTCACTTCAAATAACTCTCTGAGAGCACAGAATGTGTGGCCCAAAACCCCAGTATCACTCACAAGAGCGCACACAACCTCCCACTGTCTTGGGCACATGAACATACATGTGTACCTCTCTATTTTGGATATTTGCTCTAGTTGAAAGATTTTGCAGAATTGACAGTCCTAAATGCTGATACCCTTAATGTGTTTTGCTAAGTAGCCAAGCAACCTCACTTTGAGTATTTTGTTGCCAGTTTGGTTAATGTGTGCCTGTCATTTCTTGCAAAGGTCTTTAACTAGTGTTTACAGAGCTGTTAATGGCAGCAACACTGTGTAAATACACTTTAGGTTTGAAGTCAGAATTGCCTTTTATGGCAATCTCTACATAAAAAAAAATCCTGATTAAACTGTGCAGTGTTCTCCTTATCAAATTGCAAGACATAAAAAAGGCTAGTGGAATTGGATTCAAAACATCAGGCTGGGCTGCTTCTGAAATGGAAGCTTTTGCTCTCTTTAAAGCATATTCTGCGTGGAATCTAGCAGCAAAAATTTTGGATTCAGGGAGAATATATCAGACTTCACTTTGGAAATTTCCTGTTTGGTTTCTTGAAAACTGCTTTTGTCTAATCATATTTGATTTCACAGATAATTTTATTTAATGTGGATTAAGTAGTATCACATACCCATTGTGGTCTTTCATCACTCTGTTTAATTTTGAATGTGACATGATATTTTCTAGTACAGCTAAAACTTGTTCAGTAGTCAGCTTTGAAAGAGAGTGTCTTTCATATCTCTGTAATATGTTATAGATAGCAAGCAAAAATAGTTACTTTATTCTTAAGCTTTTAAAATTCCTTACTCTAATTTGCAGATTACAGCAACCACTGTGGATGGAAAGAAGTGATTTATCCTTGAATCCTGCTCTGTTTAGCACACAGCAGGGAGGATGTATAGTTTAGTACCAAAGGGAGAGGTTACTGGAAGAGTCAAAATGTAGTGCGATAGTTGAAGGCCAGGGTGTTAAGTGAGATTGATTTTTCTGCCCAGTGAGTATTGGACATGGTAATTTAGGGCTGATGGTATACCAGTCTTCTGTGATGTGGCTGAATGAAGGCAAGGCTGGTTCCTCTGTTACTCATAGACCATGGTGATTTCAACACTACTGCTGAGGTTATAATCTATTACTACTAATATAAGAGCATGAAGGATTTTTATTTTGTTACAGAGCCACAGGGTTTCAACTGTAGAAAAAATCCCTATTGAGAAAAAATAAAATTAATAATGCCAAAAAAACAAACCCACTTCTTTCTAAATGTGTATCATTATTTAGGCTGACTTGGAGCCTTCATGCTCTTATGTACATTCCACATATGCATAGGTTTTCTGCAATAATATTGATCCTAACAGAAATGGAAAAAAAATACTGTAAAGTGTGTGCCGGTAGTATTTCTGACAGGTTAGCACCAAGTACCATGAAATCTCAGTAATTTTGCAGGTTTGCTAGTGGCTAGCCTTTTGTAATAATTTTGAGACAAAGCAAATACAGATATTAGCCTTCAATCTAATTTTGCCATATCTTTCTTCACAGCTTCCTGTTATGGGAGGAGCCTTTATGGACTCACCCAACGAGGACTTTAGTACAGAGTACTCCTTGTTTAACTCATCAGCCAACGTCCATGCAGCTTCTTCTGCGCAGAATCCACCAGAAGAGACATCCCGTTCTTCAAATGATGCCATATTGTTATGGATTGCAATAATAGCAACAATTGGAAATATTGTGGTTGTGGGAGTGGTGTATGCCTTCACCTTCTAGGATGACTGTCACTCCAAACACTGGAAGAAAGGATAACTGCAACAGTATTTGTCATGTGTATGTGTGTATATATACATGTATATCTATAGATACATATAGGTAGGGACATTGTTGGTTAAGTGCAGCTGCAGTCATGGAAATGAAATGCAAGTTAATCATCTTGAATCTCGATGGCAGAAAGTTTGGATGCAATTGCAAGTTGTGTGGAGGTGAGAGCTTTCACTGAGAACAGAGCCAATATCAGTTTTGTATAGAAATGTAATGAAAGAGAGGCCAACATACATACAAAGTGACACTTACAGAGACAAGTGCTTGTTTTCTACTATTTAGATTTTTCCAGCAGTTCTGCTGCATTTTGTCAGCTTTTTTTTGTGCAGTTTTTACTGTGGTGTAATGCTGTATGACATTGTTCTATATCATGTTTGCTGGACATCTTGGTTTTCCAGGTGGACTAAATGGCTGGCATTGGCATAGTTCTGAGGAATCACGTGTTCATCATGTGTGAGTGTTCAGCATGTGCATACACTGTGTTCAAGTTCATGAATCTGAAAGCTATGACAGGCAAATGTGTGTTATCTAACACTTGCCTTCCACTGTCAATTGCTGGATCTGAAAATACAAGAATTGATGCTAAACCTGTCTGCTGTTTGCAGGGGGAGACACAGCTATTGCAAGGCGTGGCTGGTCTGCAGACCTGCTGCACTTCAGGGGAGCAAGTGTTAAACAGCAGTACAAGCTCCCATTTCTGTTTGGAGGTACTGGATTGCAGTGGTTCATAGACATGTCTCTCCCAGGAATCAGAGGCCAAATACCATGCTTTTCAGATCGTTTCACTGTTCCAGATTTTTTACAACAGCCATGTATTTTCATAAGATTATTGGTGTATCAAAAAAATGTGGGAAAACTGCAAAGCCTGATTAATAGTGAAAGATATCGATGAGAAAAATAGAACTGAAAGAAAGATTTGACACTTCTGTGCTCACAAAGGAGTGAGCACAAGAGTCAGGTATGTCCTGGGATCGAAACAGCACAAAAAAGGTAGTAAGTGACAGATACACAAGTGCTTATATTTCAGTATTATGATGTCTCTGTGTACTGATGAGGCTTCTGCAAGTGATTTTTACATAGCCTGCTTTAGGTAGCAACTCCAATTATCACTTGGATTTGTTCTGTTGGGTGACAACATTTTCACTGTGTTGTTCCCACAAGCAGTTCCTTTTCAAGAGCTATATCTTTTCAAAGCAAGTTGTAGCCTTCCTTGCTTCAGAGATCATAAAATCCTGTGGGAAGAAAAAAATAATCACCTCTGTAGGAGATCTGCCTCTTCCCTCTTAAAAAAATAAGCACAAATACATTAAACATCTGCACGTTGAGAGTAGCAGACGAATTCTTCATCTATGTCTGCATGTACCGGTTTTCTGTCGTATACAGCTACTACCCAGAAATTCCAGAAGGCTGTTTCTGCAGGCACAGAGACTATTTTTGACACTTGCCTGTCACAGATCTTGAGGCTGGACTAAATGCTGCTGAATGTGGAGAGAGGGTTGGATTTTCTTCTTTTCTCTTTAAACCCATTTTCCTGCAGGGCTGGTGGACAGTTACTTGAATCAAAGCAGCATGCCTCAAATGAGTATTTATAACCATTTATCACTATGTATATTGTTTTTCGACCCTATAAACTGGCCTTTAAAGTTGGCAAGATGCAAACAGAGCTAGAGGGGAGCAGAGACAAAAGAAACAAAGTTATTTTGAGGATGAGAAAAACATTGACAGCTCACTTGAGGAACTAAGCTTCTGTGTGTGCAGTTATTTCCTTGTTTGGATGCAAAATTTTGTGAAGATGGCTGAGGACAGCTAAGATCTGTGCTAGGATGTCCTGGGTTCAGCAGTAGCAGTCATTTTTCTCCTTCTTGGTAGCTGGTGCAGTGCAGTGTTTTGACTTTCGGCTCGGGAACAGAGCTGATAGCGATGTTTTGGTTTGGCCAAGGACTTTGTGAGCCTTATGCTCTGCCAGGGAGGAGGGGAAGCCAGGAGGAAGCAGAGACAGGACACCTGACCCAAACTGACCAAAGAGGTATTCCATACCACAGCACGTCATGCCCAGGATGTAACTGGGAGTTGGCCGGAAGGGCTGGGAGACTGCAGGGTTGGAGGAGGTATGGGTCGGTGCTTGGTCGGGCCTGGTGGGTGAGTTGCTGTTTGGCTGGTGGTGAGGTGTTATATTCTCTTCCCTTGTTATTTCCTTTATCATTATTATCATTGGTGGTAGCAGTAGTGATTTGTGTTATACCTTAGTTACTAAACTGTTCTTATCTCAACCCATGGGAGTTGCATTCTTTTCGATTCTCCTCTCCATCCCTCCGGGAGCAGGGGGAGGGAAAGAAGTGGGGGGAAGTGAGTGAACAAATTGCCTGACTGGGTTTAAACCACGACATAGGAAAAAGTTTGAGAAGCCCAGTTCTGGAAGAACAGTGGGGCAAAAAGCATATTCTGTCGAATAGCTGCTGTCTTGAGAATGATACCAAAATTATAATTTTCGCTGTCCTGAAATAGCTATTTGTTCCTTCATAGGCAGAGGATAATAAAAACCAGGGAGCTTCATGAACTGTGTACTTTTCCTATTCTTAAACTGTTTATCATTGCTGAGAGTAGTTTGCAATGCAGAATTGAGAAGGACAGTGTCTGGGTATGAACATGTAGGACTCATGGAAACACTGCTTAATGTAATGTACTGTCCCCAGCCATGTTCTAATATCCTATTACCTTCATAATGGTATCACTTACTTAGGGATTTTTCTTCAGTATGTCTGTAATTAGGCCAGACCTTGCAAGCACTGTTTTTGCATGAAGAGCAAAACATTTCCACCTTGATTAAAACCAGTTTAATACGTAGGTATTTGCCAAATGAGGTTATTCTTCTGCTTAATGAATTTTCCAGAAGAGTGTTTTGTTTCAGTTTCCTATAACAATATTAGTGCAATTAACAGTGTTTGCATCTCTCTCCCAGACTGCTGGACTAAAGTCTTCACCCATGAAGTGTGAGAGTGGGAACAGCAAAGAGACACCCCTCTGCTCATGAAACCGCGTGATGCTTTTGTGTTGCTTTTCCAAAAGAAAGTGCCCTACTTTCATATGGAATTGATATAGGAGTGTTGAAAAACAATGAATTCTGCCTCCCGCATCCAGATCGTTGTCATATATATTTTCATTGTTAGAGGCTGAATTGTCAAGAAGGGCCAGACAAAACTTTAATTAAAGTAACAGGTTTGACAGGTTGGCATAACAAACTGGGTACAGGCAGCAAGTGCAAGCATTTCCTGTCTCATAGTTAAACTGCACATTAATTGTGAGGCTTTTCTGTTGGGGAAACAGTTTTAGGATGCAGGGACAAGGATACTACCTTTAGGTCTTTAGATCGCACTGGGCAGAGCTGGTTCAAATTCTGATCTACTTTGATATTTATAACAAGCACGTTATATTTTTGGATGTAGTGTTCTGGCACCATCCACTACAGCCAGTTCCATCTTCTGGGAGGCTAGGGAAGGTTTGAATTAAACCAGTAAAAAAGGGGACTCTTCCGTCATTAAATCAAAGAAGCCACGGAGGGGAACAGAAAAGTAGATGAATGGTGGATGTGTCATAGGTACGGTCCTGTGAAATGTGTTACCACTTCTTTATGTGGGTATGTGTTATACCCTGAACTGTCAGCACAGCTTGATTTAGAGCACTGTAGCTTGTCCTTTCCTTGGAGCCAGGCAGTTGGATAACTGCTGTCACTCACTGTGGGGTGATGAGAGTGCCCAGCTGCTTTCCTCAGAGCTGTTCACTGTAGCTCTTCAGTAAAGGCAGAAGAGGACTTTGTGTTTTGCTGAGCCCTTCCTGTATCAGCATGAGAGCAGGATTCTGTCTGTGGAAGATCCGTGTTTTGAATGTAAGCGTCTAGCTCAGATGACAGTTACAAGATCTTAATTGGAATTTGTTCAGTGGCAGACAAAACAAACCACTTTCTGTATGCAGTGCTAGCCCTCTAGTTCTGTTGTGATCTTCCTTGTACAAGCAGAAGAAATAGTGTATGTGCTTTGCAAAGTTATTAATGAGCCATGGGAATCAGGGAGACAAACTGGGTGGCCTAACAAGTCTCTTCTAGCCATGGCAACTAATTATCAACAGATAAAATTATCAACCTTTCTCTAAAGATTTTTTTTTTTTTGCTCTAAGCAGCCAGAAGCAGCTATATAGCCACCACAGCAGAGTCTAAAGGCTGCCCAACTATAAAGGTGGGTACAAAGGCACATTAGATAGGAGAACTGATTGAGGAAACCCACACAGATACTGCTGTGATATTGTTATCTGTCGGGCTAGGAGGCTGTGCTTGTCCACAGCATTAACATCCTCCAAAATTGAAATGAGGGAGGGGGATGTATTTCTGTGTCAACACATCTGCTACACTGAAAAACAGATTTTGAAAGTGATGCGCTGATGGTAGGAGAGAGACTCTCTGCTATAAGTAATTTATTTGGCCATTTGTGTGTGCAAGTGAGGTGATGGATACCTCAGAAGTAATGAGATTCCCCCTCTCCAAAATCCTTATCCTATGCATCCATTTGAAGATTAAGGGAAAATACGCCCTTGTGTCTGTGACCAGACAAAACCCAGGAGCTGAAGGTTGTTATATATTTTGTCTGCTACTAGAGGCTTTCATTTTGCTAGTCTCAAACAATTCCAGTTGATAATACCCTCTTCCCATTTCTCTGCAGGCTTCTGAGAGTTATTAATTTCATGTAGCTCTGTCCTTTTATCTGATGTAATTTTATTGGGTTTCCTGTGGCTAATCACAGGGAAGAATCTGGAAAATTACTCTTTTTAAAGATAATTTCTATTGTTGAGATAATTAAACCAAAAATCAGAATCCCAGATCAAAATGCTTCTGTTCTTTTGGAACATTCAGAGCTCTGGAGAATTGGATTTCATCTGTTTAATGCACAGAGAGGAAAAGGGTGGTCAAGTCAGTGGTCAAGCCCCTGACATTATTGTCAGACATCAAGGTTCTGACAGGCAGATACGAGTGCTTCATTAACTCCTGCTCTGTCCCTCTGACCCCTGTGGGCTTCCTGGACCCACAGCCTGAGCTAAATTTAAGTGAAGTAACCATCAGGTAGAGCATGTACCTCTTCATCTTACAGCTTGCTAATCCTCAGGGAAACAAATGCATTTATTCCATTTGCACAAGAAGAACCAGAGATCAATATTCTGTTAGGTGTATTGCTATTGGTACATTAATCAGCCACCATAAGGTAAAGACAGGGATGGTTTAACATGTAGTTAGCCCTTTGCCCCTGATCTGGGAATATCCTAAAGAAGTCAAAGCATCCTTGAGACCTTAAAGTCTCCTACTGCCGTTAATCTGATGCTAACTTTTTGTGCTTCCTCATACAGACCCTTTTGTCTTTTACCTTGTTTTTCAACTCAAAACAAGGAAAATGAAGTCACCCTATGCTCTTCTCTGGATGCATAGATAGTGCGGCCATGAAGCTGGGTAACTGCGGCCATGAAGCTGGGTAACTGTCAGGATCTATACAAACCAAAGCTACCTTTTAGAAATTCAGATTCTATAAATATACTGCACTGTTCTGCCATCAGCATGTACTGAGCTTTTCTCAACCCAAAGTACTTTGTTATTTTTATCAAATCAGAATCAGTGGTAATGCACTTGGAGTAAGGCAAGGGGAGCGGCAGTGAGCACTAGGAAAAATACAGAAGCTCCCCATGAATAATTGTAGGGTCAAGGCCATTAAACACTAGCCTATTCAGTAAAGAAAAACAACCACAATGTACTAAACAATTTCAAATCTAGACACACCTGTAATTCTCAAATTCACAGCCAAGCTGCTATAGCCAAATTGAGCATTTTAAAATCTCATTGTGACCAAAAGGAAGTGCATTTCTTGGCCAGATCAGAGAGTACTGAACAGCCTCCCTCACAGTCCCTGGTTGTTCTAGTATTGTTTTTGGAGCTTCCTGATCTGCGGTCCATTAAGGCATTGTCACATTTCCTGTGGAGTTCCTAGTGAGCAAGTAAGATTGAACTGTTTACAGATCTATACCTAGAACTCTTCTCAGTTACTGCCTGCATAAGGATGATTGAAGTTCCTGAGCCTGCAACCTGCTACATCCAGAGAGACCTTTGCCTCCCTCTGGAGTCAACTGGATTGATAATGCATCTACACTTCTGCTTCAGTGGATCAAATTGCAAGACTAGCTCTGGGTTGCTGGGGGTTTATTTTAAGTGTATCTAAAGATGTCCATAATTTCCTAATGAAAAGCAAGCAAGCAAGCGAGCAAGCAAGCTGAAAGCTGTATTTTTTTAAATGAGAAAGTAATAAAAACTAAGTCTGACTATTTTGATAGATATGCTGGAAGGGTATATAATGTAGCAAACAGTTGCACAATTTTTTCTATTGTCTAAGTACTTAACCTGAGAAATATTTACTCTTTCTCTAACAAAAACCTCTTTCA